CCCCAAAACCCCAAAACCCCAAAACCCCTTGATCCTATTTGGTACAAAATTACGGAATAAAGGGTTACAAATAAGATTATTTAGTATATGTTAGAGTATTTATTTGAAAATATGCCACTCTAGATTTCATTGACTGAACTTGATCTCTGGCTACTCCATTGTTGGATAGGTTGGGAATCTATTGACTTGGCAGATTCCAAATGGCATTTCTTATGATCCAGTGCCGTCCATACAGAGCTTGAAGAAACCATCATCACCCCAGGCTTTACCCCAGGTGTTTCTGACGATCCAGTACTCTCTGCACCAGCCAGTTCCACGCTCTCCCTTTTGAACATGACCGAAACCAACGATTGCTACACCGTGGTTAACAGCTGGAGTTGGGTCGCTGCACTTTAAGAAGCTCTCAGTCATTACTCCGTGTTTGTAGAATCTGAGGTTTTCATTTGAGATCATACCGACTCCAACTGGCTGTTTAGCAACAATAGCCTTAAGAGCTTCGTTAGACATCTTCTTTTCTTGTACCATACCATTGTTCTTGAAAAGTACCTTCTCCTTGTCGTATTTGCATTGGTTTTTCTTTCCAACGTATGGATAGGTGTCAGCAGGCATTAATCCATATACAGATGCGTAAGCGTAACCCTTGTACATCCAGCCACCACTGCAGCCGTCATTGGTAATGTCACAGTCAACTAATTATTGGATAGAGAGCTCAATTGGATAGTCGAACTTTCCAGAGATAACAGCTAGTGATTCGATCATTGAGGCGGTGGTGAAAGCCCAGCAGGAGCCACATTAGTGTTGATCGTGAGGAGCTGATACAGCACCTTCTTTGTACCAGTCCTTAACCTTTGGTAGGTTTTAAACTGGAGTGTCGAACATTGGAGCTGCGTCTCCGTGACCTTTGGAGTAAATGCCCTTGCTTGGGGTTTCATCGTGCTCTTAGGTGAGAAGGTGTTTTGGAACTCTAAGTTTGTGATGTTCTAAGAATTCATCTACAGTCAAGTCAGCGTATTAGTTGACTTCCATAACGAATGGAAGCACATCAGCATGTCTGTTGTGCTCTTAGATCAAGTGGTAGTTTTGCTTGAAGATCTTGTATCTGTCGGCTGTGCTCTGTCTATCGGCATAGGTCTTTTTATACCTGGCTAAGTAGTCAATGTAAGCTTTCATAGATTAGGTATTTGAATCTCTCTCAAACAGAGACAAGTTGTATTCAGATGGATTAACAACAGTTCCGCAGATTTAGAGGGACACGAGGACGACTCCACCGATGATGGCAGCAGCAATGTATGCGTGTTTCTTCTCCCTCTGGTCCTCTCTTCGCGAAAGATTGATCATGAAGGGGTCATTCTTCTCAATTTCAAAGTTCTAATATTGTTTACTCATTTATATAAATCTTATTTATTATTATAATAACGATAAGCTTAGAATATATAGACCTCTCTAACAATAATAAATTTAGCAATATATATCTTTTTAATTTACTATAATTATATTTTATCTTATTTTACGATAATAATGTTTATACGGGGTTTTGGGGTTTTGGGGTTTTGGGG